TAGGGTGGGGGCAGAGCCCGGTCGCGCCTCTGGGAGCCTGCGCTCCCCTGGGCCGGGGTGCGGTGGGCCTGCGTGGAGCCCGCTCTCCGGCGACCCGGCCGCGGGCGCTGTGCTCTGTAGCCGCCGCTGGGCGAACCAGCGCCCGGCCAGTCACCCCGTTAGATCATTCATTCACTGCCACTTACTGGCCCTGTGACCTTGTGCCTGCCACCTGACCTGCTGGGCGCCAGCCTCCTTATTTACGAACCTGGAATCCTGGCTCCCTCATGGTGGTGTGTTGACAAGCTTAGGAGAGGGGTTTTGAAATCGCTGGCCAGGAGGTGCCTCCACTTCCCGGGCGGGTCCTAGTTGCAGGAAGGGGCTGGAGGAGGGTTCCTTAGGCGGCCTCTACATTTCCCTGTAGTAGGGACAAGGGCAGACTCCAGAGGGATGCACCTCTACCCTGTAGGGGACCACAGGTGTCTGGGAAGGCATGATCGCTCCAGCCCCGCGTGGGCCTGGAAGTGAGGGTAGGGGGCCGCTCAGTGGCCGGGGTGGGCGTCTCTGAGCCTCTGGGGCAAGGCTCCCTCAGTAAGACTGGCCTGAGCACTGTGGCAGGAGGCCTGTGGCTGCCGCAGGTTGGAGGGGGGAAGGGCTGCCCCTGGGGGTCCTGCCTCTCTGACACCTGATCAGGAGTGAGCCCCTCACGGCTGCTGTCTGAGAGCTCTGTGCCTTGCAGTCCCTGGACCAGGACCGATGTGTGCAGTGGGAGGGCAGGGCAGGCGGACATGCCAAAGGTCAGAGCAAGTTTGTGGGGCCAGACCACTTGGGCATATCCCTGAGTTCAGGGCTGCCTGAGTAGGAGCAGAGCAGGCCTGAGGCCACAGGTCCCAAGAGGCAGTGCAGCTGGCACGGCTGGGGTGCAGGAGGAACACTGGACACCAAATAGGAACAGGAAGTGAGGTCACCTAGGGACGGGGGAGGGGCGTGGTGTCACTTCAGAGCTGCAAGGACCTTAGAAACAGCGTAGAAAGATCTGGGGAGGAGACCGAGAGGCTGGGGCTTTCCCTTGTCGCCCAGCGGCCTGGGATGGACCCCCAGATCTCCTGGCTCCCGGCCTGGGATCTTCCTGCAGCCACACCCGGGCATCAGGAACACGCACCTGGGCGCCGACAGGTAGGGGTCACACTGAGCCTTACGGCCTTGGTCACAGGCTGTCCTTCCTGCCTTTTGCTCTCCACCAGCTCTGCCCTGTCTCTCTCCTGCTGCAACATGGTGCCCACCCCATCTGGCGCCTGCACCCTCTCTGCCCTCCTGCCTCCCCTCCCTCCGCCCCACCTGCTCCTGGGAGGCAGGAGGGCAGAAAGAGCTGTCCAGCTGTGTATTCAGGTGCCTGGTGGTCTCCCCCACTTTCTCCAAGTCAGACTGGGGCCCACCCAGTCAGGATGAACCCACAGAGACCCTCGAGACCAGTTATGATTCTGCATTCTGAGTCAGCAGGTGGCATAGCAGTTAAGGTGCTGGACTCCTACATGACGAACTGCAGTTCAAGTCCCAGACCCAGTGGCTTGAAACTCATGCCAGGCATATGTATGTGTGTGCCCCAAATCCCTAGAGGAGAATGGAGGAGAAGGGACTGTGATGTGGCCCTCACCCCTGGGGAGGGGGGTGATTTCTCATGTTCTATCTCTCTTTCTAGCAAGTGCACACATCCCATAGCAAAAGTCTCTCAAAAACAAGAAAAGGGTTCTGCAGCCCCAGGCCAGCTGGTGGCATGGTGGTGAAGGCTGGATCCACGTTGGCTGACTGCACAGTTCCAAGCCTACGCCTGGTGGCTTGAGACTGTTATGATTCTTTGATCGCAATGTTTGTTACTCCATTTTGTACTGCTTGACATATGTTACTCCATTTTGTACCGCTTGCAAGATGCTTGCCAAAAACATGTTAGGAAAGATATCTTGTCACCAGCTTGAGAAAGACACCTGTCAAGCTGTCAGCCCAAGATATGATATGCTGACGCGGACTGAGATCAACGCATGTCAGTCACACCCGGAATGGCGCTTACGACCGACCGAGGCCTTTCAGAACACTCATCGGAACCGACGCTCGCGGCCAGAGGAGCACTTCGAGAGCTGCTCCTACCCAAGTCGGGACCCTCGCTCCTCGCAGCCCCGAGTCAAGTCGCTGCAGCGAGAATCTGGTCGGCGAGGAGGGCTGCTCGGCAAGCGAGGCAGTGACTCGGGGCTGCGGTCAGTGCGAATGGAGCGAGCAGCAACTGGGGCTGCGAGAAGTGGATCGGGCGCCACTCAGGGCTGCAGCGGTTGCGAGCCTCTTTCTAACTTCCTGAGCCCCGGTTTCTTTATTGCAAAATGGGAACAGTGCGACACTGGCCTCGTAGACTGAGGTGGGTGTGGAACCTCAGGTGAGGCGGGCCCTCTGCAAGCTCCTGGGCTCAGACCTGGCCCTCTCCCCTCTGCTGGGGTCACGTGTGGAGCCTGCAGGAGACAAAGGCAGGGCAGAGGGCTGAGGAAGGGGTTCCCTCCACCCTTGTGCGACCGCCTCCAGGGCCCCGTGTGTGTGTGTGTGTGTGTGTGTGTTTTGTGGACAGAGGGGTTGGGGCTGGTGTGAACAGCACAGAGAAGGGGATGGTGGACTTCCTGGGTGGTGTTAATAAAGGAAAGTTAGAAAGACCCGGAAGCTTCTTTCCTTTTTTGTTTTTTTTTAAAGTTCTGCTATAGAGTCTGAGCGCTGGAGGGTGGGGGAGGTAGAGAAAGCGTGAAGTCACCGCCCAGAGGGCATAGCCGTGTGCAACACCTCCTCTCCTCTCCTGGGACTTGAGGCCTGCATGCACACGTGCCTAGTGCATTTTCCATGCCGCCAGGTCTGGGACTTGAACTGCTCACTTGGTCATATAGGAT